AGACAACAGCAAGAGCAAACACCGATAAGCTGCCTCAGGCGCCAGCTATCTCTGTGCAGAGATAACAGCAGGTATCAGGCACAACAAACACCCAGCACCACTCCCTACACACCCCAGGGAGCCTGCACAAGTCAAGTCCACCCTGACCCCTCCTGAAGGGGCTCCTCCTCACCCAGTTAACAGAAGCCACCTCCCTCCTCCTCTTCATTACTGTGGTATCTTAGCATCTTAAATTCACTGATATGGCTCTGTGTTTATGATGCTCACACTGGAAAATTCCCATCTTACCAGTGGAAAAATTAAAACTCAGGACTCCCAAAACTTAAATGCAATATCCTTGCTCCTAAATAGTTTGGCATCCTGGTGGACATGTATCTAATATCAATATCTGACYCTTCAAAAGAGCCATGTTTGCTCTCATGCAGATGTTATCTCCAAGATACTTACTCATCTAAAGCAGGATCCCTAATCAGACCTATAGAGGGTTAGTCTTCCATTACCTATAAGGACATTGAGGCAGGAATTAAGTTACACCTCAGACACTTGTCTCACATTTTGCACTTCTTTCCTAATACAAGAAATACATGCACAGGGCCCTGGTTCCCCAAAAAAAAAAAACAAAACCAAACCAAACAAAACAAAACATTCTCTGCACTGTTTGCTGGCACAAGAAGAAAAAATCCACACATCATGGTTTATCTATCTGGGAAAGAAGTCTGGAGTTAATGACAGTAGAACACCTTCCTTAGTGGACACTTCTTCAGACCCCACCATTCTAACAGCCACTATTCCTCCTGAGTAGAGAAACTATTCTTGCAACACGATTACTTTGTCACAGGGTAAAGCTCTCCATGTTTGCCTAAGGGAARCACATCCCTTCCAACTGCTTCACCCCACCTCCATCACAAGTAACTGATGAAAGCTTGGGATGAAGAGGAGAAATTAGGATAAAGTAATGGAGAAAGAAAGGGGCTGAGACATGTATTTCTGGCAGAGAAGCGAGGAACTGCTCATGGCAAGGCAGAATATGTRAACAGAAGAAAACAAACACAAACATAAATCAAGATTAACACAGAATGCTTCTGTCCCCATGCCGTGCCGGCTGTGGGCTGAGCTGTGAGAGAGTTATGCCACTTGGCATTCAACTCAGGCACCAAAAAGCCCAGGTTTTTAATCTTGTGGCCAGAAATTCAATGCTAGACAAACTGTGTTTTACAGCTGGTGCAAGACAAAAATGAGGAAGGCATGCCAGCTGAGAGGTGGGCACATGAAAAGGCATTTCCTTGGAGTGGCTRAACCTCCTCAGAGTAGAAGTACAGCACCACCACACATGTACAGAGCAAGTCCTCTCTCCTCCAACTACACCAAACACTTTCAATGCATCCAACCTTGSAGGGCAATGGCAAGGTCACTCTCACCCAAGCCAGTGGCCACAAACCCTTTGATTTAGAGCTGTGGCACTGCTACAAGCACTTCACATTAAAGAGTAGCTGCTGAACAGCATGACTGTTGGACACAGAGAGACTCTTCWGATAAGCTTTTAGTGGAGTAAAGTTGGAGTAAAATTTGTCTGTCTCAGAGGTAAGAAGGATCATAGAAAACAGTTTCAATCATTCACCTGTCAGAACGTGCTCCAAAGCTTGGTTTTATCAAACCACTGTGACAAACTTCTTTCTTAAAGACAATCAAAATGTATAGAGTACTCTCAAATCTCAATTTACAAAATCTTTTACTCTGGAAGAGATGTACTAGACTCAGGAATTCAGGAGCCTGAAACTCAAGGAAACTTGTTAGAGATTATTTTCCCTATAAACAATACAGCTCTTCTTCAAAAGACTTAGGAACTCTAGTATTTTATTTTAAGGCCACATTTGAAGTGTATTTCAAAGAACACATTCCATATGGCTTTTAAACCTGACTGTGTCTTCTATTAGTAATTTGTGTTCCTCAGCAGCTTTGGGGAGTGTTCAGTTTTATTTTAAGAAGCCTTTGCTCTTCACCTTTAAGCACAGTTCATGTGCCCGCATCAACACGTAAGAAGGTATCACCAACCTTTTTTTATTTATGTTTCTTCAATACATCAGCAAAGATTAAAGTGTGGTTAAGCCTCCCCTTTTATCTTGGCRTAATTCATTTTTACACCATATCAACCTTCTCCAGAGCTGGATATTTGCATATTAATAATGAAGCTTGCTTTTTAAATCCTCCCTTTAGCTTAGTATATTAAAAAGTGTTGATAGATAAGACTTGACTCTCAAATTAGTGGTGGTGGAAAAGCAGAGTTCAAGTTATTCAATTAAAACAGAGACAACTATGTTTATTGTCCTCCCACATTGGAGTTAAGCTGGAATTTCACTAAGAGAAACTGTCCTGCTCTGATTACGATGGACAAGGTGTAGGTTTTATCATTTTCCCAACCTGGCTGAAAAACATTTGGGAACAACAGTTTGAACATCATTATTGTTTCCCAGTTATTGACATTCTTTGTGAAGTGCAAAGAAACTGAGGAYGCAGATTCCTGGTTCCTTTAATCCGGTTTGTGTGTGGGTTGCAGTCAGAATGAACAAGCCTGCCCTCTTCCATGCCATCATGTCTCCCCACTGTCCTCGTGGTGTTGCAGTTGCCTGGTTAGCAGGGCCATGGAACCAACCGACCCACAACCTAATCCTCGTTTCTTTTTTTCCTGTGAGGTCATTTCCTACTGCACAGCTCATAACCTCCAGGATCAGCAGAATGAAGTGTGGTGGGAACACTTGGCTGCTGGGTGGTAGAAGATCATTCCTGAGTGCAGCTGGCACTTCACCAGCTCAGAGAAGYGACCACAGCATGAGAATCTGCTCTTGAAGCTTGGACTACAATGCAGGTGTGGTCAATTTACCTTTAGTCTAATGCATTTGAGCTCAGGCTAGACTGACTGCCCAGCATGTACCCAAGTTCTTGGGTAGTTTTTATCCATGGATAGAGAAAACATTGATACACAACTGAAATTCTTTCCAACTCTGCAAACAGCAGTGCTTCTCTTCCACAGGGTTTAAGCCAGCTCTCACCAACCACCAAAGCAGCCTTTCCTGACTGATCAAGATCAASTCTGCAGTAGGTGAAAACAGCAACAAACAGAAGCTGCTATATTCYCCCTGCACTGCTGTAATCACCCCTTTACTGCCTTGCTTCCACATCCTCATTATTTCATTTTATGGTCTTTGGTGCCTCATAAAACTCCAGCTGTTGGAATCAATGTAAGATTGATTCTGCCTCATTTAAAGAAAAGACCAAGATGTTATCTGACTGCTTTGCAGAGAAATTCAAAGGTAAAGAAACTTGGGCGATTTATTAGGACAATACTAGCCCTATAAAGAAACAAACAACAAAAAAAAAGGAAATCTATCACTACGTTTTTGCTATTCTCATGTTTCTGTTTTTAAAATATTATGATTTTTAATTTTACCTAAAGGTACTTGTTTTGAAACTACTTCAAGAGACTGCCAAAACACAAGCAAAACATGAAGCCAGATTTGGACTGATAACAGCAGTGCTGACAATACCATGTCCTAAAGATGGCTATTGTTATACAGCGCAACATTTTCATGACTGAATATCTCGTTTCGCCTCACAGTCTTTCCTGAATGCACATTGYAAAGCTATAAAATACACACCATAATGTCCACTACAAACGGCCATAAAAATACCAGCTCTGAGATTCTGAGACTTCTGATGGAGGACCAGCACTGAGCTCAGAGTCTGAAAGAACCTTGACTGTGGACTAGAATTCAGAAGGGAAGCAAAACAAGCACATACTCATGTTTGAGGAGAAATCATGGTAGACCAGTTTCCACTAGTGAGGAGGGCTTGCWCTGCCCACAGCACAAAAGCATCACATGCAACCTCTCAGATCAAATACTAGCTAACAYTTGTACCTACACCCTTTCTGTTAAGTGAAAGAAGGACTTGGGAAAAATTGCATCAGTAGAGATTGTATCTCTCCAGACACCAAATGCTGCCACACTCAGACTCCAGATTTCAAGAGTCACTTAAAAAACAAACCCAGGATAAAAGTGACTAACAAACACTGAGTCTTCTTAGTGCACCAAGGTCACACACACACACACACACACACACACACACACACCCCAGTAAAAAAAAAAAAAAAACCAAAACAGGAAAACTAATAACTTCATTTCAACAGCAGTAATTGTATTACCTAACCCTTATCTGGCACTTTTTTATCTGTACCTCTCAAAAGAGGTCGACACCGCTATCTGTGCATGATACAACTATTTGCATGAACTCCATTGGTAGCACACAAGTCACCTCAAAGCAGTGTCCAGTACCAAGCCAGTAGCTGCTGTCACCATCAGAAGAAGACAGAACTCAGAAGAAAACATCTGGGAATCCTTTTCTATGCTAAACCACAAAAACAACTCCTATTTCATCTACTGACTTGAGAATTCAAAGATTGTGGTATAATATCAACCCTGAAAGTCTGGGTTTTTTGTTCATTTAAACTACAGGGATTGTCAACAGCTGTATTACCCTACAGGTGTTCACTCAACCTGACCCTCTTCTTCCTCAGGCTACATCCTTTTTGAAGCTTTGCCTTTTCAACTGGGCCCTACATTAACTTAATTTTGCTGCCTCTGGCTGTATGGATGCTCAAGATGGGCATCTGCACTTATGGAAGAAAACAGAGATAACTGGACAGAATCCTTCATTCCCATAAGGTCCACGGAATAAATTACTGTAAAGAACTAAATACTGACATTTGGTATGTTTGTTACCACCACCCATTTCTGACTGTGATAGTTACATAGTCTGGATGTGCACTCCCCTTCCATTCCTGTCCATCCCCTGGTAAAAAAACAAATTTAAAAAAACAAACAAATAAAAAAAAACAGAACCCCATCCCTTGCTTCAAAACACTTCAGACAATCAAGAGCTTATCTAGACATCTCAGTGATTTTACAGTGTTACACATATCCTAGTATCACAAGAATATGTTTTACCTTGAGGCAAATGTTTTAATTTATGTGCATGTGAGCTATTTGCAATACCTCCACCAAATGGAGCCCATATAACCCGTCGGATAGCTTTCACCCAATCTTCCATTTCATTCTGGGAATTAGCCATAAGCAGGAAAGCCTCATGATTGACAGGCATCTTTTCCCGGTCCCCTGCACCACCTGAAAGACAGAATACAAATCTCTTTCAGTATCGAGCTCAGAAGAAAACAACAAAAATCTGGGTCAAAATAATCAAATTATTATTTTAATGAGCAGTTTTACAGACAATTCCTACTGATGTGCTTCAGCATCTACAGAGCACAGGTTGATAGAAGTTCAAAGCAGAARTGCAAAATGTGCGTTTGAAATGTGGGAAACCTGGAGATGCTGTATCTGCTGTCTCAGCAATAGGAAGAGTGAAAGCACAGGCCGTAGGACTCTATAGGAAAAGGATGAAATTAATTCCACATACCTGGGCTGAGGTATTAAGATATTTTTACCCAAAAGGGGGACCAAGTGAAACATAAGACATTTTAAAATGCTTCAGATGTAGACGTCACAAGATCATCCACTTTCCCCAAGTCTCTTTCCCAAGGGAAATTTATACTCTCAACAGAGAGACAGACACCCATTCTGATTTTGGATCCAATTCAGAAGAAAAGAGCTATTAATGGTGTGCAACATCTCAGAAAGTCACTGACCAGAATATCAAATYCACTCAAACTGTCATAAAAAACTGTTCCTTGTGGATTCTCCGAGGTTTGAAACATTTTGACCCTYCTTTCTCTGTTTCTTTTCTAGGTCAGCACTTACTCCAGCCAATTTACATCTTCCCCTCACCCTTCATTTTATGTTCCAGAGCTGGATACAACCTAGTGAGTGCCACACAAAAAGATAAAAGAGTCATTAGAACAGCCTCTGGATGAAAAGGCTACTGATCCTGTCCAATACAGCAGCTGCATCCCCAGTGGCCTGGAGCTTCTCCATCACCATGGAAACTGCCTTTGGCTTTGCTACGGAGATAACATCTGAGCCGTTGTGTCACTGTCATTTCCACGCTTACATGGCTTTCAGCACCTACTGGCAAGCTAAAGCTGCCAGCCTGTGCTGAGCAGCTGAGATTGCCTGTCCGTGGAATTCAGAGATAAGAGCAGGATGATGGTATGCTGTGGTTTCTGCAGAGCTGATTTAGCATACATAGAGCATGTGCTTCTTAAATCCTTGCTAATCTGGGGAAAATAGCAAGCTGAGAGCTGCCTGCAAGCCAAGGAAGTACTTTTTCCTGCTATTAATTGTTTTCTTGCCTTGACACACTCATGAGCCKTTACTGATTTTCAAAGCAGAAGAGGTAAAATGAGATGCACTGGGAAGTGTCTTGTGGTTGTCCAAGAAGCAATTCACTAAATTGGGAAAYGGAGGCAGTCTTTCAATAAAGAGGAAAAACAACAACTACCTGGGACTAGTCATGCAGCTTAAGAAACAAAAGCTATTATGCTTTTTCCCCCCCCATGCACCAAAATTCTGCCTTTTTCCCTCATAGCATCCTCTTGGACAGTCTCCCATCTTTTAATTTACTGAATTATTCATATTCCCTAAGGTACATGAAGAGAACAGCTCTCTAGCTCAAGGTTAGGATGCAGGCATCTGAACAGATCAATGTTCCACCACACACCACTGCAAGGATGACATCCTGCATCCTTTGCATACAGAACTGTCAGAACAGCAAATTGCAATCTGTGACTCCTGTCATTGCCCAAATCTTTTACCCAACACAGCCTCGTGGTGAAAGCAGAGGCTGTGAGGTCTAATTCTTACCTATTGATGTGCCCTTTTTCACAATCAGATGTTTTTTTAGGAGATATGACTGAAACAAAGAGGTTTYCCACAGCCTTCAATACACATCAAAAATGGGGTTCAGCATGTGGCGTTTGGCAGACAGATGGCCTGAGCTCAGACCAGCAAACAACTGAATTTGGTCCAAGTAAAAATCTTAAGTTTAAAGCTGAGATCTTGCCCACCCTAGCCATGAAGAGCAAGAAGAGACCAGAAGCTTGTCTTAGAATTAATCACAAACTACAAATTCAGTGGAATTAGCTCCCCTAATCCATACAAAGATTGCAATAAGAAGCACAATAAGCAGAGAATGGAGATGACTTACTGGACCTCTTCTAAAGTGGCACCAAYACCTTCTCAAGGACTCACTGTACCACAGGGACCTGATTACAAGTGCCCTTCCCCTAAGATGTTACTTTGGACCAGACCAGCTGCTTTTTAAATATTCACACACAATTTTCATGCAAGCATTTAGGGTAAAAAAAACATTTATACTTATATTTGAGTTTTCAAAAAGTAAAAACTGGATGGAAAAAAGTATTTCGGTGCACACTAGACCTGAGATTTTGCCAAACACTACATATAGCTCCTCCATGTTTGGCTTTCCCCACTGAAACTTGAAATAGGAGCAAGGTCATGACCCTCCAATCTGCCTGTGGGAGAGTCAGYAGTGACTAGACATGTAAGTACAAGCAAAGGAAGGAAACTCCACACATGAAGGCCAACTTAGAAATAAGAATGCATTTCAGAATTGCTTCTTTTGTTAGCATTGATGTGACAATTCTGTGACAGAACGTGTAGATCCACCTGTAAGCGTTTTCTTTTTTAATAATATTTACTCATATTCCTTTGCACACTTGGCTGGTTCCTTTCGCTACATCCTTGAGGCATCAAGCAGAAAAATTAGAGGTTACTAAATAGCAGAGTTCAGACATTCCTCTCTACACTGTTGTAACATTCAACAGATTTTGAGTCTCGGTAGTCACAAGAACGAGAAACAGCCAAATTCAAACACCTCAATCTTCTTTAAAAAACAAAAAGCCCAACAACCTCCACAACCAACCAACCAACCAACCAACCAACCAACCAAACAGCCCAAGGTAACAATTCACAAGAACCTTCTTAGAAGTCGAGAATTTTACCTGAAATTCACAAATGGTTTCTTTTATAAGCTCAGACACAAAACAGGATCTTGCCATGGATTTCAGGTTTGAATTGGAAACACAACACTGAATCAATTCAAACACACTAGACTTTAGGAATTGTTCTAGGAAAACAATTTCAAAGCTTCCAGCCCAGAAACACTTGGAATTTTAGTTTTGCCTCTCACAGCAGCATGAAGCTCACATTCAGCAACTGAATTCACACCTCATCTCTTCCACTAAGGGAGCTTCAGCTCTGACTACGGTTCATGTTAAACTCTAACCCTAAAGCACCCGAGCTCTACTTCTGCTGTGTGAATCAACAGGACATCTGTCTACTCAGCACCATGACAGGGAAGAACCCTCTGTTAAAGGATTTTAAACACAGACAAGGCTTTTTCATGCCCTTGAACAGAATTTCTCACTCATCTTCAATCAAGCTGCTATATAAACAAGACTGGGCCTCCGAGACCAACCCTGCATAGCTCAGGATTGCCATGGGCAGACATTCCAGTCCTTTTGCTCAAAGTTACTTTCATCTCCCAACCAGAGACAAAATAAAACTGTCTTCAAACACAACACAGTGCAAGTGTCTCAACAGATGTGGCAGGAACAGGAGGCTTAACTTCAGGGATGAACAATCCACTAGCCTATGACCAGGGGATCCTGTATTCAGGTGCCTGCTTTACTGCTGGCTTCCTGTATATGCTGGACAAGRTGCACAGGATTTCATCCTTACCCACAAAGCAAGTTGGCAGCTCTATTTACCTCTCATCTGGGTGTACAGAAAATGAACGTCAAGAGTAGGAAAGGTGATGGCAACCATGTAAGCATACACAGTAAATGTAAGAGCCTAGAAAGATGAAGGAACTTGTTTGGTTGTTGCTCCTCATCAAAAGGCCTGCAGGTCGCAGCTGACTGGAATGCTTTGCTGCCCCTGTCTCAAGGTCCCTTTGTCAAGGTGCTTTACATACCCTGGTACGTTTCTTTGCCTGGAGGGAACACTTCAGCTCGAGGCCCCCAATTGCAGGGCACAAACGCTCTCCCCCTCAAGGTCCAGGCTAACTCAGGCTGGCAGAACTGCTCTCTGATGCCTCCATTCATGCTTTCTGTATTTTATATGGCCTGGGAGCCGTGTCCTGCTACTCACCTCAGAGTAATGTCCACTTCCTAAACCTTAGAAATGCCCTCCCTTTCAGCTCTTCCCCCACAAAAAGGAAGACTAGGACTAAATCTTACTAAAGGTCAGATGGAGTGCTGCAACAGCACCAGGAATCATAATCTACTCTTCAAGGCCCTGTTTACTGAAAACTCTTCTTGTTTTGACCATCCTTAGTCTGGTATGCATTCACCGGAACATGCAAAGCATAAAGAATCACTTTGTTACATTTACTTGTCCTGCCCTGTGTTCCTGTTCAAAGGACCTGCAGCAGACAGGCTGCATCTCTCCCTTTATACCGCTCTTTCCGATGGGGAAAAGCTTGGAATTTTTTGTTTGACTTGAACCTCATTCACTCTAGCTTAAGTTTTAAGCTCACTTGTGAAGCCAAGCCTCAGATCCCCTTTGTCTGTATGGAACAGAAGTTCAGGGGGAACAGGACAGGACTTCTGCATGGGAGTTGTTACTGCCTCTGTATGCAAAAGGAAGAACTTTTACATTCTTAAGCAAAGCTACTGTGGGGTTCTGAAGTTGGCAGCTTCTTTCTCTGCTTAAGTAACTTCTTTTCCATCCACCCCCTCCATCTGGTTTGCCTTTCACCCTTTCTTACATCATTCTGCTTACTGATGTGCTTGTGTATTGTCAGGATACGAGCCCTCCTGAGTAGTTACACAACTACAGTACCTYGTGTATGTGTACACACTGACATGTTTGTTTACATCTCGCACTGCTTTGGTGTGGAGAGCAGCTGTAGAGTTTCAGTGAGAATGCAATCCAGCCGGCTGTGCGCTGGTGCTGCAGCAGGCGGGAGGCGAGGGCAGCTCYGGGCTGAATTTTGGGAGGGTGGCTGGTGGGAAGCACAAGGCCCAGCTGACGTGTCTGCCCTCAGCACTACAGCAAGTAGTGACAGGAAACCTTTGATTGCAGACAAGCAGCAACAAAGAGCCTGACAAATGGACAAAAACTAGCATCCATTGCTGACAAGAACAATTGCAATGATTCATCTTCCCTGACCTGTTCTTTATGATTGACTTAAAGGTGAGTAT